GTATCGGTGAGTACCTAAACTGAAGTACTCGTACTTGTACTCAGTCTTGAAAAAACTGGTATCGGGACACCCCTACTAATTTTACGACAGTTATTAATAGGATGGGTCCAAGAACAAAATGGATTTCTACCATCTTAAAGCAATTCCAGTTTTTATCATTTCATTGTGGTTCACTCCATTTATAAATCTTTACACCAATTTTTCATCATCAAATTCTTCCCGGAAATGCTCCAAGGTGCACTGGAAGAACTACAGCTAGCTGCTGCTGCTGCTGTTTGTCCAACCTGGTTATGTACAGGTCTATGAAACGTTTTTGTGAACCACTGGGATAGATTTTGCAGGCTAGATTTGTTTTAAGATAGCAGAAATTCACTTTAGTCTTATTCACATTTAGTTGTTAGCATGCCAATCATGTTGGACAATCATGTTAGAAAAATGTCCAAAATGTCCTCATTAAAGATTCAGCTATATTGTGTATGAAAGGATTGACACACACTGTTTAGTATTTTAAACAAAAATATTTAAAACAGCATTTGTGACATTTAGGAACGTTTGAATTGCTGGTTTACACAGTGACAGATTCATTAAGATCCCACTTTAAAAAGTTTTCTCATGAGTCTGAAGCCTTGGCCTTTTTCTTTCTTTTTTTTTTCAGAAGAAGAGGCTACTATTTTTTCATAGTAAGGACAAATGTCTGGACAAACTCCCAAAGGCCAGATCAGCATTTTAGCTCTAGGACATGTCATTCTGTCAAGGCCTTTGTTCAACACATTCCTCTGTGATATATATTGCAGTTAAGTATGAGTGGAGCATTATAATAGTTCAAAAGAAAACAGTGTTTCCCCCCCCAAAAATATCTTGTCCAAACATACTTAAACACATGGTGTGTTCTGACTGGGCCGACAATTTAAACTTCATTAATTGCTTTCAGGATGAAGAGCAGGCAGGCATATCTTTTAAATAACACAAGGCTTCAGGAGGCTCCTGAGGGAATACTTGGTGCTCTGTTTTCAACCCCTAATAGACTGCAATTTATTGCTTAAGCTAAATTAAAAGCAGCAATCATACAGTTATATCAAGAACTACTTACTTGTGATAGGATAGTAAAACAGTTCGAAAAAGTAAAGTCAAGTAACAGTCACATAAAAAGCATCCATTAATGAAGAGAAAATAAAAAGGAAAACATTAATTTTATCTAACTAGAGTAGATACCACATAGAGGTAACATAATGACCCCCGCACGCACAAAAGCACCAGAACTCAGAAGTCTTTATTCCTAATAAATGTCATGCTACTAGGTGCATCCCAAAATTGTAGTGGTTAGGGTGGGGGTCATTTTTTTTGGGTTGGGGGAGGGGGGGTGGCGTTGGACCTGATGATAGTCCCTCATCAGAGCTAAACAACCAAAGAAATCTGAAGCTCCTATGTTTAATAGTTTTTGAGCTATAACCATTTTTGTATGTCCAGATACCCCCTTTTCAGATAAAATAGGGGTCCGGGGGTGGGGGGACACTGATTGGTGGGCCTGATGGATAGAGCTTCATCAGAGCTAAACAACAAAAGAAATCTGAAGCTCCTATGTTTAATAGTTTTTGAGCTATAACCATTTTTGTATGTCCAGATACCCCTTTTTCAGATAAAATGGGGGTCCGGGGGGGGGGGGGGGGGACACTGATTGGTGGGCCTGATGGATAGAGCTTCATCAGAGCTAAACAACAAAAGAAATCTGAAGCTTCTATGTTGAACAGTTTCTGAGTTATAAGTGATTTTGCATGTCCAGACACCCCCTCTTTGAAAGGAGCCCCCTCCTCAAATATGGGGTCTATGGTAAAACCGTTGGCTGGTGCAGTGTAGGTCAGACTCATCTACAGTCCTGACTAATTTCATTATGACCGGTGCAGCTGTTTTTGTGCTACGGTTGACCAAAAATCACTGGAGAAAAAAATAAATAAAGAAATAAACAGTATGAAAACAATATGACTCCCGCTTACGTTTTGCATGCGGGGGTCATAATAAGTCAGTAATAGACAAGACAATGCAAAGTTTTTCTAATATGTTGTAGTTAAAACGTTTGTACACATACCTTGAGATGATTTTGGCTGATTATTGTGTGCTCTCCCTCATAAGAAATGATGACCTCATTGGTTATCACCTCTGGCTCAGGGAGATCATTTTGCTTGAGTATTTTAATCTTGACCACACCTTCCACAGAATGACCTTTTGCTTGGACAGTGAAGCTAAATGAGTCTTTGGACCTTAGACTCTCATAGCTGGACTCATATGACACAACACCTTTTTTCAAGTCCTCCTGGGTGAATTCAAAAGCTTTTATCCCACTCACAATGATCCTGCCACTACTAGGTAGCAAAGTAATCTGGAACTTGATCTCACTGTCATCTCTGATGTCCATGTTGGAGTCGGCACTCAACAGGCTGGTGTCAAAAGTCTTGGTGCTTCCGTGGTCAATATTGATAATTGAGTTATTAACCACTCGCAGGTAGGGCTCACTGGCCTGAATCTCAAGCAGTGAAGTGGTTTTATGAAAGCCGTCTGACACCTGTAATGGAAACCGTTCCCGGTCTGCTCCATGGTGAATGAAAAGGATTTTCTTGTCTCTCAGGTCAGCTTGAGTGAAACGGAAAAGGGGCTGATGTGGATTCGACGCTGAGACGATACTTCCTGAAAGGATTCCCTCTCGAGCGTAGACAATCTGAGTGTCATTAAAACCTGAGTCATCGTCTTTAAACTTAATGACATCAGTTGTGAGCAGGCGCTGACTGTGGCGGACAACATTGAAGACTTTATCCACTATTCTCACAGGAGCATGCTCATTTTTGGACTGGATCAGTATTCTGAAGACAGCAGTCACTGTTTCTGAAACGTCTGAACTTTGATCATTTGCTAAGAAACTGAATTCATCACTGCTTGTCTTGGAGCCATCATGCTTGTATATTAATCTGTTAAGCTGGAGATCTTCATTACTAAAAACCCTAATGGCCTCATCAAATCTAGGTTCTCCAGGTGGGGAATCTCTTATGAGTCGTCCATGCTTTGGTCCTTGTCTGACCTGAAATAAAAAATCAGTGGAACTTGGAGACTGCACCCAAAGGTAGTTTTTGTTCAAAATCTGCTCAGCACCTTGCAAAACTACCAGCTCTTTATTAGTCAACATATATTCACCTGAACTTGCAAAAATGCTAATGGGCAAGGTATATAAGGGAGAATACTGGTCTTCAGCAAAAACTTTGAACTGAAACTGGTCCAAACTATCCACAGCCACTGGCATCCTGATGTTGTAACTGACGGCATTGTCCAAAATGTCCTTTTGGGTGAACATGTCACCCTCAGCCAGTTCTTTGTCTGACAGCTGGAGACTACCAAGTGCTGGAGCTTTGACAAGGATGTATTTAATTGTTTGCGGATCTAAGTGTTTATTCAATACTTCTGCCTGAAGCCCAATAGCTTGTTTCTTGCCAGGCCAGAACTCCAGTGTTTCCAAGTTTGAAACCTTCACTGGTGCAGGGAAAATAATGACATCAAGACTGTAATTAGAAAGAGAAAACTGGCCTAGATGGGCATCAAACAGAAATTCATCAATCACAGCTTCTTCCTGGTTACTTGGGTCTGAGCTGAAGTATCTAATTAGCTCTTGCTCTAAATGAGACTGGTAGAAACTCATAACTTGCTTGTACACACCATTGCTTGTCTTGATTTTCAATTCACCAAACCTTGGCGGTTGTGTGATGTTATACATAATGTCTCCATCACGAGGATGAGCAAGAATAGCCAGATTCTGAACACTTATAGATGCATTGCCTCCTTGGAACAAAGTAAGGCCAGAGATGCTGTTTAAAACCATATGTGGTTTTGTCACCAACAAGTTGAATGTGATGGACTGGATTAGTGACTGACCCTCAGATACTTTAACAGTGATTTCTCCACTGCCACCTTCTCTGTGTACAAAATAGATATTCCCATCTCTCAGCTCCCTGCAAGTGAACTCTGAGATGCTTCTTCCTGGTTGCTTATCATTTTCTAAGTAACCAAAATCCATGGAAGGCTCCAGGGTCACTGTCACTACTGACTGCTCACAGCTAAAGTCAGAATCCATGAGTTTAAGACTGGAACTAATGCGTGTCCTGCCCTTTTCCACAATGAGAATTTCATTTCCACTGATCGGTGGATCTTTGGCTGGAAGAACTACAACAGGAAGTGTATACTTTTGAGTAGTTTTGAAACACTCTGGAAGGTAGCCATTACTCTGAGCAATGACCTCAAGCTGAATTTGGTCTTCATGTCTTTCATTTCCATCATGCATGTACTTAATTTTCTTGTTGGCAACATCTAGAAGGGTAAACTTTCTCATGTGTCTTCTACTAACGTTAATATCGATCAGGCCATACCAGGGATCATCCTCGAGTGTAAATACAACTTGAGACTGACGCATTCCAGCAGAACCCAAGTCAAATGTAGGTTTTAAGTTGTGAATATCAAAAAAAACCTCTCCACCTTCTGGTACACGCAAAGGGGTGATGTCAAGAAATTTGGTAACATTTTTGAATAACTCAGGCCAGTTGTCTTTTGGATAACAATACTGAACATTTAAATTTGAGTCAGTGGGAACAGGTGGGGAAGTTGTTGATCCTTCATCATAAGTTGGGTAGTCATAGTCTTCTCCTTCACATTTAATATGAACATCTTTGGTCACCAAAGCGTCCTGCAGGCTTCTATCCCTCTGATTTACTTTGATTTCTCCCAAGCATCCAATGAAAGATTCCGATGTCATGTCTTCCTCAAAACGATTTAAGGACCCGCTGTTACGAAAGACTTCTTTCATTTTTCCCTGGATGCCTCCAATGTACAAGTTTCCTACCAAATCCAATTTTTTTGATGAGTCAAGAGGAAGGGAGGATGACTGGCTGTCTATATTAAGAATAAAAGAGTCTGGGTTGAGCTGAACCTTAACTCTGTGCCATTGGTCATCATCCAGCTGTACCTGTGTATTATCCAGTTCCTCCATACCACCTCCAAGGTCCAGTATACCTTTAAGATAGCCTTTTGCAACACCGATAGCAATGAAGTCTGATTCTTGGCCATGGTGAAAAACAAGTAAAGCATCCTCTATGGTTGTTTTCATTAGAAACTCCAAAGTCCTTGGAGCACCAGCAGCCCCACTCCATGTTGGAAAGGACACAAAGGAATCAGGAGTGCTGAAACTGATTGCCTCCCCATCCCCAGCCTCAAACTCACTGCTGCAAGATTCTTTTGTGTCATGGCACTGCTTAAATACTGAGGTGAGAATGTCAAACTGATGGGACACAAATTTTATGTCCGTCATGCAGCCACGGAAGGGAGGGATAGCGTTGCTGAGGTAGGAAACATCTAGGTCTCCTGTTCCTCCAAGCCAAATGCCCAGGTCAATGTTGAGCTTTTCTCCATTGTCATCCACAGGAATATACGTAGAATAGAGATCATCAATTGTCATTGTGAGCTGGCCCTCTTGCAAAGTTAACAACACTTTGTGGTGTGCAAGGTTGTTGATCTGCACTCCTTGAGATGAGGACAGTATAACTTCACCAGCCCCCAGGTTCATTCGTGCCTGTGAGGGGAAAGAAAAAATAATTTTCTTAGTTTAAAATTTTCTCAGACCTTTATTAACTATGAGCAAGAAATGACATTTGAACTACATAAAATACCTTTTTTTAGTCAAGTGTCTGTGTAATTTTTCAGTCTTGTCATTTTTGTTGAGACATTTGTTCATCCTCTTTGGATGTTATCATCCATGAAATGGACGTTATTAGGCGTTATTAGTCCCCTAGAATGGCTTCAGAATGTCCCGCCTGTGCCGGTTAGCATGTTCCCCGTCCGAGGCATAAAGCCACTATATGGTTAATATTAGGCATAAAACCACTATCTGGTTTACATGAGGCATAAAAAACAGGTTAATATGAGGCTTAAAGCCACTAAGGTTAACTTTAGAGCAAATGACATGGTTAGCGCTAAAGACACTGCCCTCCAACGTATGTATGTTGTGGCCTTCCAATAGGGTAATGGGCAGACTGTCGGACCAAAGAGCAGGAGGCCTGGGTTTGAGACCGACATGGACACAGAAAACTGATTACAACATCTTTTGGTTATTTACACATTCATTGCCATTGATATATTAACCCATTAGGGGGCACTGTCGGGACAGTCTGAAGCCTAGAAGGCTCAGTAGGGACCCTCTGAAGCCATTGTATGGGACTGATAATGCTTAATAACGTCCATTTCATGGACTGATAACATCAGAATCCCCTGCATTTGTTGGTATCTTGCTTTTTAAACAATTATGATTTTAGCTTTGTTTCCGTTGCTTCTTTTGATGCGTTTTACATTTTTTATAGTTATTCAGACATTTTGGAAGGTAAATTAAAAAACTTATTTTTAAAATTTATCCTCTTGTATGACTGAGCTACACAGAAAAAGAATGTTATATATTTATTTTACATTTGAGATGATATTTACTGTTTGTACAGACCGGTGACAAATTAAAGGAGAAACTTAATATGATGGCATAAGTTCACATTAAAAAGAAGTAAAAATCATTAAAAATCACAACAAAGTTGTCCAGCTTAACTTTTGGATAAAATAATAATGTCTTGATGTGACTAGTTTCTCTCAGGATGACTCAATCCACTAAGAGTGAAGGACCAATGAAGACTTGAATTTGATAAGAGTTTTATGCTGTGTCATTTTCAGGCACCAGATCTTAGGTTAGTTTAAGACCATATTTAAAATGCTAGGAGGAATTTTAAAAAAAGTTTGAGTTTTTTAACATATCCATTATCTACACCCACTTATTCCTGTCAGGGTCACGGGGGTCACTGGTGCCCATTTCCAGCAGTCACTGTGCGAGGGGTGGGGTACACCCTGGACAGGTCACAAGTCCATACATCTGATTTCGTCTGCCATAGTTGAAGCATTAAATCAGGAACTATATTTTAGATAAATAGCTACGCATTTTGGCTCAACTAGATGTACAGAGTCAGGATTGATGCTAAAATTCCTTACCGCTACAGCTGCCCGCCAAAACAAGTGTTACTACAATTTACTATAATATTTTAAAGTTACTTTTAGGCATGGGCTGAAAACCAGTTTCAAGGTATACCGTGATATGAAAAAGTCACGGTTTGAAAACAGCAAAAATTCGTGCCTACGGTATAAGTGTTTTTTTTTGTTTATTTTTCCTCGGGTCTGTTCCGCTGTAGACTTTCCCCTGCGACCCCTCCCCCGCACACTCCCGCAGAGCTACCTGTCGGCAGCACTCAGCTCAGCTCTGCGGGAGTGTTCCCCAAACTTTTCCTGTCTAAAATAATAAATCCAGCTAAATGAAAATACTTAGGATGCCGTAAAGACGACGGCAATGTGGACCATGGAGGCAACACATCTAACATGATCGCAGCTCCAGGTAAAGTTATGCTATCTTTGAACGAGCTAACTTTAGCATCAGATGGTGAAACATATCACCGTGTTGCTGTGGTTTTAATGTGCTGATCACAGCTTGTCTGCAAAACTGTTTGAGTTGTTGGATTGTGTATTTGGTAAGTTTTAAGTGAAAGGTGATAAAAATGAATGCCTCCTTTAGCCGAGCAGCTCATTAGCTGAACGTGCGTTTCATAAACACACATTCATAGTTGTTTTTTCTTGTTTCTGTGTGCATATAAATATATGATCTTTACGCCAAAAACCCCTTTGTCATTTAAAACATGATAAAAACTTCATACATTACTTCAATAAAAAGACTTGTTGCGCAATATACACTGATTTGTCTTAAATAATAAAGCAGTAGAAAAGCAGTTATCTTACTAGATGTAAACTTTATCAGGATAACCTAATTACATTAGGTGCTAAAAATCATAAGTACAGATACATACAGGTAAAAAAAAATCAGCATGACACCTCTGAGACAGGGGATTCTGATGTTATCAGTCCATGAAATGGACGTTATTAGGCGTTATCAGTCCCATACAATGGCTTCAGAGGGTCCCTACTGAGCCTTCTAGGCTTTAGACTGTCCCAACAGTGCCCCCTAGTGGGTTAATATATCAATGACAATGAGTGTGTTAATAACCAAAAGATATTGTAATAAGTATTTTGTGTACGTGTCAGACTTGAAACCTGGTCCCCCACTCTCTGCCTCAACACTCTAAAAATTGCCCTATTGGAAAGCTAACCATGTTATTTGCTCTGAAGTTAACCTGAGTGGCTTTAAGCCTCATATTAACCAGATAGTGGTTTTATGCCTCATATTAACCAGATAGTGGTTTTATGCCTCATATTAACCAGATAGTGTCTTTATGCCTCATATTAACCAGATAGTGGTTTTATGCCTCATATTAACCAGATAGTAGTTTTATGCCTCATATTAACCAG